TGTGTGTGTGTGTGTGTGTGTGTGTGTGTGTGTGTATATGACTAAGCAATCGTTACGATGAAATGACCGGTCACTATGATGCACACTGACCACCAGGGACAGACGCTCAACACAGGAGCTGCCCCCAGCCCACAGGCCCCGATCATCTGATTGGGGCCGGGCCCCAGGCTGGGACAGGGAAACAGGGGTGGGTGGCAGCAGATGTGGCCCCCTTCCCAGGGGGGCCGAGGGCTGGAGGTCAACTTCCCAGGTCCCTTCCCCTGTCCAGCAGGCCCCAATCGGCCTGCTGCCTGCCTGCTGCGGTGGCCTCCCCCACCACCCCTGGCCAGCAGGACCCGATCACCTGAACAGGGCCTGCCAGCCAACCTCCCAGTCCCTCCCCCCGCCCGGCAGGTCCCAATTACCCAATCAGGGCCAGACCCCGGGCTGGGACAGGGAACCGGGGGTGGGTGGCAGCGGACGCGGGCAGCGAGGGAAGGAGGAAGAGGGGTAGGTGGGGAACCGCTTGGCTTCCTCCATCACCGGGGGCAACCCAAGCCTCCTGCTCGCTCCAGCTCTGTGGCTGCTGCCATCTTAGTTGGGTTAATTTGCATACTCGCTCCTGATTGGCTGGTGGGTGTAGTGGAGTGACAGAGTGACGGTTAATTTGCATGTTTTTCTTTTATTATATAGGATTTTGCTCTAGGATTTGGAAACCTGCAGGCACCAGAATGCTCTGAGAGACGTTTGTAGTTTCGTTGCTAAGCTTTTGAATTTCCATGAGTGCTGACCTGTGTACTTGGCAATGTTGTCCAAGAGGAGAGGGTACTTGGTGAGCCTCTGCATCTGGGTGGGAATGATGTCCTTCAGCTGCAGGCGCCGGCACAGTGGGTTACTCTCAGCGTCCTGCATGAAAGGGAGGGGGGAATTGATCCTGGTTATTAGGAGGACACCTATCATGGACCACATGTTCATTACATAAGTGTCTATAGCATCACAGCCCTGGTAATTAAATAAAACTTACCACATGCTAAGACATACCACTGCCACACTATACTTGTTTCTCTTTATCACTAGACCAATGGCTTGTTATCTGTTTAAGCAACAACTTAGAGCATCAATAATCAACTCCAAGAATTACTTTCTTGGGATAACACAGTTTTATCTTCACATATTCAGAAACTCCAGTTTCATGTGCTTATAACTGGCATTCCTACCAAACCAAGTGAGCTGATATGCGGGCTGCCATCCCAAGGAGGCAGATCCGCAGTTGGTGAAGTGCCAGACAATAAAGCATTTGAGGCTTTGCAGGCCTTACAGTCTCTGCACAACTTTCAACTCTGCTGTTTTAGAACAACAGCAGCCAATATGTCAATGAATGAACATGGTGGTGTGTATTAAAAGTTCTGAGATGACCCCACATTCCCTCTGGTGTCCACACCTGTATAATCCCATCCCCGTGCTGTGGCCAGAACCTGGCATCGGATGGGACATCACACCTGGGACTAGGCTACTACGGGTGGACTTCTGAAGTCTGTCGTAGGTGAGGCTGACTTATCAGAGGAGCCTTTACTTTAAAGAAAAGCTCCGTCAGGGATATGCATTCCTACTCGCCTGGAAGAAAGCAAACACTCACCTTCCAAGCTGCCCACAGGGGCCGTGAAGCAAACAGATATGGCATCGGCTAGGAGCCAAGACAACAGACAAGGATCTTGGCTATGCATTGACAAGGATGTGAATTCTGCTAACAAGTGGGCCTAGAAGAGGACCCCCAGCCCAGGTGAGAACTACAGGTGAAGGGAGGACCCAGCTGAACTACACGTCCTCCTCAGCCCACACCAGGGCATCATGCATGGACAGTGTGTTACGTTCCTGTGCTTGTGGTAATTTACTATCTGGCAATAAAAAACTACCTGACTGTTTTCCAATAAAATGATTGACCAAAACAAGCAAGAGAATGGATATGGCCCATGTATACCTCAATCGTATGGCTGCTGTTACGTTCTTCTCTGGGCTTGTTGTAAACCCATTTCTATGTTTTGATGATATTATTTTAATAGTGTGCATGGCCATTTCAGGACAATATCTCCATGGCAATGTGAACGTCTATGTCAAGTATTTTAATCATGAATATACTCTTTATTTTTCACCATCCCAAGATCATCTTTCTACCACCAGTAATTGAAGAGGGCAGTTATAGCTTTAAAAAGCATTCACATAGATATAACCCTTGTGAAAGACAGGCTTAGACTCTACAATTGGTAAAACTATTTTTCCTCTCACAGTCACCCTAAACTCACCTGCACAAACGTCTGGAACCGAGAGTCCTTTTTCTGACGAGATTTGATCATTTCCAAGGCAAAGGGCTGGTTGCTGCAGAAGGTGGCGGCAGCGTGCTTCAGCTTCTCCTCCCCGGGCCCACTGAACTGCGCGAGACCAAGAACCGCCGGGAGGTGAGCTGACAGCAGGCCAAACACCGTGCGCGAGAGGACACAAGCCTTCAGGTATTTTAGTAAATATTCTCAGAAGACAAGAAACAAAGAACTTCACGTGCATGTGGAATATCCATGTTTCTCTATGAAAACATCTGATCCTGACACGGCCGAACCTTTCCTAATTACATTCTACTGGTTCTTCCTGTAGCCTGCACACTTACCCCTTTCCGGGCTATGCCACTTACATACTATACTAGACAGAAAGGTTGGCACTGGAGAATTATGAGACATACACACGTAAGAGAGATTGTGAGTGGTAAACACACAGTACAATATACAGATGATGTGCCATAGAATTGTACACTTGAACCCTACATAATTTTATTAACCAATGTCACCCCAATAAATTTAATTAAAATAAATAAAATTCAAAAATAAAGTGTAAAAAAGACTGAGGTTACAATTTCATTTTCTTAGAATCTGACACCTTCACAAAAATGACTCTCTTATTGCTCCAGGGAGAAAATCCTGGCATTAGAGCTTGCTTTCGTACTCTGAAACCTAGGTCAGGTCAAAACTTTCTGGGGCACCAATGAAATTAAATCATCCACTGTTTCACTTGCGTAGAGGTGAGACATCTATGCTGCACATCTCTCTTGTGGAAGATCCAAGAGCCTGCAAATTTCTTACTAAAAATTATACTTTTTTAAACTGGTATTTTTAATATATGAATTTAAGTTTGTATATGCCATAATTTTAAAGTTTCTGATGAAACACCTAACAAGTGCTTCAACTCCTAATAGGCACTGTTTTTTTTTAAAAAAAAACATTTTTCAAAATTTATTTCAGAGAGGAAGGGAGAGGGGAGAGATAGAAACATCAATGATGAGAGGGAATCACTCAACAGCTGCCTCCTGCATGTCCCCTACTGGGGATGAAGCCCACAACCCAGGCATGTGCCTTAACTGGAATCTAACCTGGGACCCTTCAGTCTGCAGGCTGGCACTCTATTCACTGAGCCAAACCACCTAGGGCTAGAGCACTCTTATAAGTAGAGGTCAAATAAATTTTTATAACCAGGTTTATATTTGTAATAATTGCTTTCATGATTTACAAATAAACTTTTCATATACTCTTCCCTTTAAAGCCATATTTTCAAAAGTTTGTACATGAAGATATTTTGTTAAAAATCCCTTTGTAGTGCATGTGCAGATAAATTCAGAGTATTTTTTCAACTAGGACACATACAAGTGGAATTGTAATCGGGGATAACTAGTGGCTCGGTGCATGAAATTTTTAAAAAAATATATTTTGTTGATTTTTTACAGAGAGGAAGGGAGAGGGATAGAGAGTTAGAAACATCGATGAGAGAGAAACATTCATCAGCTGCCTCCTGCACACTCCCCACTGGGTATGTGCCCGCAACCCAGGTACATGCCCTTGACCGGAATCCAACCTGGGACCCTTGAGTCCGCAGGCCGACGCTCTATCCACTGAGCCAAACCAGTTAGGGTGCGGGGCATGAAATTTGTGCCCTGGGGGGGGGGGTCCCCCAGCCTTGCCTGTGCCCTGTCACAGTGTGGGAGCCCCATGATCCATCGCCCCAAAGAGGTAGGCCTCTGTGAGCCTCACATCCCCAGGGCCAGCGCTGGGAACACAAGCCTCACATCCCCGGGGCCGGTGCCGGGGGCGGAGACACGAGCCTCACGAAAGTCCTCGATGCTGCAAGTCTCCGCCCACCCACCCCTGCTGCGCACACAGCCTCCTGCTGATCGGTCATTACACGTGAGGGTGTCACGACCATTTGCATAAAAGCTCTTTAGTATATTAAACTAGAGGCCCAGTGCACGAAATTTGTGCACTCGGGGTGGGGGGAGGGGTCCCTCAGCCCAGCCTGTGCTCTCTTGCAGTCCAGGAGCCCTCTGGGGATGTCTGACGGCTTAGGCCCATTCCCAAGGAGTGGGCCTAAGCTAGTGGTTCTCAATCTTCCCAATGCCACGACCTTTTAATACAGTTCCTCATGTTGTAGTGACCCCAATTTCATTGCTACAAATTGAGCATAATTAAAGCATAGTGATTCATCACAAAAACAATATGTAATTATATATGTGTTTTCCGATGATCTTAGGCGACCCCTGTGAAAGGGTCATTTGACCCCCAAAGGGGTCTCGACCCACAGGTTGAGAACCGCTGGCCTAGCCGTCAGTCAGACATCCTTAGCACTGCCTTGGAGGCAGGAGAGGCTCCCGCCACCACCGCTGCATTCGCCAGCTGTGAGCCCAGCTTCTGGCTGAGCGGTGCTCCCCCTGTGGGAGCGCACTGACCACCAGGGGGAAGCTCCTGCAATGAGCATCTGACCTGTGGTGGTCAGTGCATGTCATAGCGACTGGCCGACCAGTCGACTGTTTGCCCCCTGGTGGTCAGTGCACATTATACTGAGCAGTTGAGTGCCTTAGCATATCATTAGCATATTACGCTTTGATTGGTTGACTGGCCAACTGGATGACCGGACACTTAGCATATTACGCTTTTATTATATCCTATCTAATAAAAGACAAAAGGGTAATTGACCGCATCTTCGCTACGCTTCCCATTGGCTAATCAGGGTGATATGCAAATTAACCGCCAACCAAGATGGCGGCCAGCAGCCACGCAGCTGAAGCGAGCAGGAGGCTTGCTTGCTCCAGTGATGGAGGAAGCCAAGGTTCCCCACCTGCCGCGACCCAGCTATAAGCTCCAAAAGCAACAAAGTTTCAATTATAGAAGCTAAACAAACCCCAGATACCTGCTTTCAGCAGGCCGTGGCCTCAGAGCTGGAGCCGGCTCTCAGCTCCAGTGACAGCAATGAAGTTTCAATTATAGAAGGTAAATAAATCCCAGAATAAAAAAGAAAAAGAAAAAAAGGAGAGGCTGGGAGCTTCAGTCGCT